ATTATGTGTATAGGTGTCTTCCCTGCATGTGTATAAGTGTACCATGTACATACAGTCTCTGAAGAGGCCAGAAGAGGATGTCAAATACATTGGAACTGGAATTACAGATAGTTGTCAGCTGATATGTGGGTGCTGGGAACCAAAATCAGGTCCTCTGGAAGAGCAGCCAGTGCTTTTAACTGCTGAACCATCTCTCTAGCCCTTGTTTTGCTTTTTTTAAAAAAAATTTAAAATTTTTATTTTTTATGTGTATGAGTGTATTGCCTGCATGTGTGTAAGTGCACCTGTGTCATGCAAAGCTGCAGAGGTCAGAAGAGGGCTTCGGATTCCCCTGGAACTCGAGTTAAGGATGGTTCATAGCCACCATGTGGGTGCTGGGAATCGAACCCGGGTCTTCTGCAAGAGCAGTCAGTGCTCTTAACCATGGAGCCATCTCTCCAGCCCCTTGTTTTGCTTTTGAGACAAGATATTCCCATAGCCCCAGCTAGCCTGGAACTTGCTATGTAGATCATCCTGGAGTCAATCTCAAAGCAATCCACCTTCCTCTGCCTCCTGAGTGCTGGGACTAAAGGTGTGTGCATTTAGACTGGCTGGCCTGCAGTCTCCCAGGGTCCATCTGCCTCCACCCACCCAGTGCCAGGGTGACAGTTGCCCACCTCCATACCCAACTTTGATGTAGTTGCTTGGGTTCTGAATTCAGGCCTTCATTCTTTCACAACAAACACTTCACCCCCTAATCCATCTTCCCAGTCCCATTTTTTAACTTTCTGAGGCATGATCTCCCTAGTTTTCCCAGGCTACTCTTGAACTCCCTCTGCCCAGGCAGAACTTGAATTTGTGATCCTCCTGCCTCAGCCTCTGGAGTAGCTAGAATTACGGGCCTGTGCCACCATACCTGCCTTCGTTTTGTTTTAAAATTACAGGGATTTTTAAAAAGGGGAATAAGAGAGGAGAAACATCTATACAACTTACACAAGATTCCACACTGCAAGTTATCTAGGACAGGTGCAGCATTTTCAGAGCTCAGGCAACAAAGAAATTCCGTATCTGGCCACTAGGGGCAAAAGAACAAAACAAAATCCCAAGTGGAGCCCCAGGGCCATTCATTGATCAAACCTAAGGGATGGTTTAGGCAGGTCCCTAAGAGTACATTTCTATACATCTATTCCTTTTTAAAAATTTTACTAATTTGGGTCTGGAGAAGTGGCTCAGCAGTTAAGAGTGCATACTGCTCTTTCAGAGGACCCATGTTTGCTTCCCAGCATCCACATTAGGCAGCTCAAAACTCCCTGCAACGCCAGCTGCGGTGGGAGCAGATGCCTCGGGATCAGATCCGTACCTGAACTCATATGCTCAGACACACAAACACACACATAATTTTAAATAATAGGGGCTGAGGCAGTTGGCGTCCCTTGGATCCTAAGCAGCCTCGCGGGGTTCCCAAGACAATGGCCAAGAACAAATCAAAAGGGCAGAAGTCCAGGAATGTATTTCATATAGCCAGTCAAAAAAACTTCAAGGTTAAAAACAAAGCAAAACAGTTACTACTAATCTTAAAAAGATAAACATTGCCGGGCGTGGTGGCGCACGCCTCTAGTCCCAGCACTTGGGAGGCAGAGGCAGGTGGATCTCACATTCACATAGTGAGTTCAGGTCAGCTGGGGCTCCAGGGAGACCCTGTCTCAAAAAGACAAAAAAAAAAAAAAAAAAAAAAAAAAAAAAAAAAAAAGAAAACATGAATGATCAAAAAATTAACAGAATGAACAGAGCTTTTGTTAATATACAAAAGGAACTTGAAAACTTTGGAAAAAGCCTTTCTCTTAAACCTGTGCAGAGAGAGCTGATTCCTCAACAGCAGCACCATGAAAATGAACCAGCTAATGCTGACGAAGCTGCAAGGTTAATGGTGCAGTTGTAATAGTGATGTATCAAATTCCCCTAAAATAATAAATTATTTAAATATCTTATCCAAAATAAAAATTAGGGGGCTGGAGAGATGGCTCAGCAGATAAGAGCACTCGCTGCTCTTCCATAGGACCTGGATTTAGTTCCCATCACCTATATGGGGGCTCAAAACTGCCTGCAGGCAGGTGGTGCACATACATGCACAGACGCACACACACACACATTACATATTTAAAAATAATAGAGGGCTAGAGAGGGTGCTCAGTACTGGTTGCTCTTGCAAAGGACCAGGGCTCAGTTCCTAGCACCCACATGGTAAACTAATAACTCTAGTTCTGGGGATCTGATGCCCTCTTCTGGCCTCCACAGGCATTGCACAACATGGATGTACTTACATCATGCAGGCTTAAACATATACATAAAATAAAAACAAAAAATAGCATTTAATTTTTTTTATTGTAGGCTGGAGAGATGGCTCAGTGGTTAAGAGCACTGACTGTTCTTGCAGAAGACCCAGGTTCGAATCCCAGCACCCACATAGTGGCTAATAACTGTCTGTAACTCCAGTTCCAGGGGATCCACGCCTTCTTCTGTCCTCTGTGGACACTGTACAACACGAGTGCACTTACACACATGTAGCTATAACACTCATACACATAAAATAATAAATCAAAAAATTTTATTTTGTGCATATCTGTGGCTACACATGCCACTGCATATATGTGGCAGTCAGAAGGCAACTTTATAGAGTTGGCTCCCTCCATCACTTTTACATGGGCTCCAGGATCCAACTCTGGCTATTAGGCTTATGCAGCACTCACGGAGGCATTCATTGACTGAATCATCTAGTCCTAACAAAGACTGTGAACCACTGTAACCCATGTCATGTGGGCCAAATAGGCTTATGCAGTACCAGTTCCCAGGAGGCTTTCAGGAAAGCTGACCCTAAACAATGAGAAAGGGAAAAGGGTGATTTTTTTGTTTCTTTGGTCTTTTTGAGACAGGGTCTCCCTGTAGCCCAGCTGGCCTGGAACTATGTAGACCAGGCTGGCCTTGAACTCAGAGATCTGCCTGCCTCTGCCTCCTGAGCACTGGGATTAAAGGTGTGGCCACCACGCCTGATGCACAGGTGATACCTTGGGAACTTCACTTTGGGGAGGGGCATGCACACACCAAGGCATGTGTGTGCAGACCAGAGGAGAACTTGCAGATGTCTCTCCTTCCAATATGTGCTGAGTTCCAGGGACTGAACTCAGGTCATCACGTTTGGTGGTAAGCACCTTTACCTGCTGCACTGGTCCAGGTGAAATTCTGCAGTTGGAGTTTCTCTGTGGGACTGAGCAGAAACAAGGCTCATAGTAATTGCCAGGCCCAAATCTCATGCTTTTCTTAAGAGTTCCCATAAGCACTATTGAGAGTGGGGGTTGTGAAACGGTTTCTCTGTAGCCCTAACTGGTGCACATATTTAATCCCAGCACTGGACAGGCAGAAGCAGGCAAATCTCTGTGAGTTCGAAGTCAGACAGGGTTACATAGTGAGACCCTGTTTCAAAAAAACAGCCTTTCATATATATAGCTTGTTCATGTTCACCCTTTCCTAACCTTCCTTTCCCTCAAATAAGTCCCCTTCTGCTTTCATGCCTACGTGTAACTAAATCTGTGTAAATCTAGACATTCAGCATAGGTGAGGAAATATGGGGAATGACTCTGAGCCTGGCTTGTTTTGCTTAACATGGTCTCAGTTCCACCTACGTCTCTGCCAATATTCATGTCTAAATGGAACTCCACTGTGCCTGTGTACATTTTTCTTATCCGTTCATCTGTTGGGCATCTAGGCAGAGTCTGTATCTCGGCTACTGAAGCACTATTTTTTTTCTAATGTATTTTTATTTATGTGTATGAATGTTTTTCCTGCATGTATACAGGTGCACTGTGTGTACAATGCCCATGGAGGTCAGAAGAGGGCATCAGATTCCCAGGAACTGGAGCTATGGATGGTTGTTAGCTGCCATGTGGGTGCTGGTATCTGAACCTGGGTCCTCTGCAAGAGCAGCCAGTGCTCTTAACTCCCTCCGCTACTTCTGAGGTGCAAAGCTAGGCGTGAGCCTTCCCCAGCCTCCCCTCCCTGCACCCAGTCTGGGCAGCAGGCTGTCTGCCTGACTTACTGAGATGGGACCTCCCACTCATTTCTCAGAATTGTTTAGGGAGAATGAAAACAGGCTGGAGAAACAGCCAACAAAAGATGCTGGAAGGGCAGGAGGGAATCTGATACACAAAAATGAGATACCAGAGAAAAGTAAAAAGGGAGCAGTAACAGAGGCAAGACTCTACAGTTCCACTGCCGACCTCCATGTTAAGACCCACAGAGAATAGAAGTGCAGCTCACCCAACTCCCTTGCCCAAGCCATTTTAATGCAAGAAGCAAAATACTACAGTCTCCTTGTAGTCAGCACTGTTAGTATTAAATACTCTTAATATTTGAGGTGCACCACATAAAAAGGTAATATATTTGTGCATAAATCAAGAAATAAAAAGCAATCAATTTGAAGTGACTATCAGGAACCAAAAAATCTAGTTTTTCCATAAAATACAGGAAGTTGTCAAGATTAAGTGAATTAAAAAATTTTTAGTTTGCTGGGTGTGGTGGCGCACGCCTTTAGTCCCAGCACTTGGGAGACAGAGGCAGGTGGATTTCTGTGAGTTCAAGGCCAGCCTGGTCTACATAGTGAGTTCCAGGACAGCTGGGGCTACAGGGAGACCCTGCCTCAAAAAGACCAAAAAAATAAAAAAAAATAAAAAAATTTTTTTTTAGTTTGTGTTTGTGTGCATGAAGGTGCCTGTGGAGGCCAGAGGAGGGCAGTGGGTCCCTTGGAGCTGGAGTTACAGGATGCTGTGAGCCACCCGACAAGGGTGCTGGGAATTGAACTCAGGTCCTCTACAAGAGCAGCAAGTGTTCTTAACTGCTGAACCATCTCCAGCCCCTTAGGTGAACTTTAAATGTATGCAGCCCCACAGAGCTTTCGCTGCAAAATGTAACAGGAGGCATCCCAGCATAGTATGTTCAGAAGAAGCCTAATTCATACAAAAGACCATGTGTTCTGTTTAATAAAATGTTTATTTAGGATGGTAACACAAGATAGATCATGCAAGAGCTCAGTTTAAAAAAAAGAATGTAAGGAATGGTAATTGTGCTGCCAATTAAAAAGATTGTCAATCATTTTATCCCAAAAGCAACATGAAAAAAACATTTAAACCTGACATGGTTGTAGTGATTCTTCGAATTTGCGAATGAAAGTGGTAGCTATCTGTGTTCCATTCCTCAGAAGAGCAGAGTCCTACATCCAGAATAATCATTCCCACCTACCATGCCCAGAAGGCAGGCAGCCCAGAACCCATGCATGTGGTGGGCTTGACACCCTCAGGACAGTCTCGACCCGCAGGGGAGGGCAGGCACCTTTGGTGACCCTCAACTGATACTCCTATGTTGGGAACCTTGAGATTTTGGTAAATAAGAACTGTTACCCCCTACCCCAACCTTAAATGTAGTGTGATATCCATGGCGAGTGGGGACAAATGTGAACCAAAACGCCAAATGGAACACAGTGTCTCAGATTTCAAACAAATGCAACTCATCTTTTGGCATAAAATAAATAGAATGTAATGGAAATCTGATAAATGTTTGACTTATAAGTTACCAACTGTCAAGGAGTTCGGTTTCATTGTAGACACAAAGAATCGACCATCTCAATGAATTTTCTCAAAATAAAAAGGTTTGTACTTACTCTGCACAAAATCGTCACTTTTGGAACTACCCCAATTCTACATACTGAATTTATTAATACAGCATTAAGTGTCTTTGTGTAAAAAAATCTTTGTACATAGTAATAAAAAAAGATAAGGCAGGATGCAGTAAACAAGCCTTCGGGTCTTGTCCTCTGCATTCTCACAGAGCGCTGATGACTTGCTGCAACACAAGAGTGACGTTTCTGCTTCTCCGCCTCCTCGAGCATCCCGCGCCTTTACTGTGGTAAGAATTCTGTCCAAGCACCCTGAGGGACAGAGGCTGCTGATGGGCTTTGGCACTTACGCTGGCAAACTGAGCTTCTTTCCCTTGAGGACTGGAATTGGACAAAGAACAGAAACAAATAAAAGGGTTACGGTGTGAATAACTGACAGTTCTTTCTTTCTGGTCGGTCACACACGATTCTACCTGGACAAGTACAAGGAAATAACAGTGAGAGAGAAAGCACAAAGCCAACTGAGAGCACAACTAAAGCTGCCCTTTGTTGTTGTTTTGGTTCGCATCTGTGCATGTCTGTGTGATGCAGGCATATGCATGCATGTGGAGGTCAGAGTACAGTGCTGAGTGTTGTTCCTCCCCTTCCATCCTGCTTGAGGCAGGGTCTTTTTGGTTTACTACCATGTATAAAAGGCTAGTGGTCCTAGAGCCTCAGGGATTCTCCTGTCTCATTTCCCATCTTGCCATAGGAGATGTGCTACTGCGCCCAGCTTAATGTGGGTTCTGGTTCTCACACTTGAATGGCAAGTACTTTGTCCACTGAGCCATCAACTTAAGCCCAGTTTTAATTTCTTGGGTTTTTTTTTTGAGACACGGTCTCCCTCTAGCTACAGCTGGCCTGGAACTTACTGCATAGATCAGATCAGGTTGGCCTCACAGAGATCCACCTGCCTCTGCTTCTTGAGTGCTGGGATTAAGGTGTGGACCACTATGCCTGGCTTTTGGGTTTTTATTCTGGAGATAGGGTCTTGCTATACAACCCAGACTGGCCTCAAACTCTCAAACTCATGATCCTTCTGCATCAACCTCATCAATGTTCGGATTATGGGTATTCGCCAACCCACCTAGTTATAGCTATGTTTTGTTATGATGTCCCCCTTAGTAAACACATAAAATCTGACTTACAAAGGGGTGTCTTGGAATTTTATAAATTAAAAGATATAAGCGTATCATAACATGCCTATCATCCCAGCACTCAGAAGGCTAAGCAGCAAGAGTGTGAGTCTGAGGCCAGCCTGGGCTACAAAGTGATACCCTGTCTCAAGAAAACGTTATGTCCTTGTACAGATCAGGCTTACCATGAGTAATGTTCCTGTGTAGCAGGGATTCAAGGCTGGATTTGTTTGCATGAATCTGCACACACCTGTGTAAACCTACAGTCGTCTTCTGAGCAAGGACCACAGAGAGCTTTCACAAGCCATTTGTTAAGTTCATGTGTCCTATTCATACAGATGCAAACATACACAAATACAAGGACAATTATACGGTTTCTGGATTTTCACTGCAGCAATAGGTAACCCTGAACCCCCATAAATGGGGACAGGGTGAGCAAAGATATAGCACAATGAGAAACTAGGGCTCATTTCTATTTATTTTTTGTTTTGTAGCCCATGTCATTTCTATTTACTAACATGAAGAAAGTGAGTGGGGTGAAGGGCAGATTATAGAACTGCACGTGGTTTAGATCATTATCTGTGTGTGCAGACAGCTAGTTATGTTTACTGAAATGCAGCGATCAGCTAAGTGGTTAGATCTCGGGTAGCAGTCTGAAATTATTTGTTGAACATTTTTTTTTGGTCTTTTTGAGACAGGGTCTCCCTGTAGCCCCAGCTGTCCTGGAACTCACTATTGTAGACCAGGCTGGCCTTGAACTCACAGAGATCCGCCTACCTCTGCCTCCTGAGTGCTGGGATTAAAGGTGTGGGCCACCACGCCCGGCTGCTGAACTTTTTGAGATAGTGTCTCATGTATCCCAGGTTGGTCTCAAATTTGATATGTACCTAAGAATGACCTTGAACTCTTGATCCTCCTGCCTCAACCTCCCAGTTCTGGCATTATAGGCGTGCACCACCAAGGCTGGTTTTCTGGAGTTCCAAGGAGCAAACCCAGGGTATGGTACATGCTAGACAAACACACTACCAACTCAGCTACATCTCTAGCCCTCAACTGAATTTTTACAATGAAAATGTGCTATTTTACAAAAACATTAAAGCTACAGTGAAAGCACAAAATTCTTAAAAAGACACAAAACTATTAGTTACAATTCTGACAACAGTTAAGATGTTTTTCTGAGGGACTGGGCACATATATAGCTCAGTGGTAGCGTGCTTGCCTTGCTCTGATCCCTAGTGCCACACAAAAAAGTTCTGCTCTATGAGTGATTAGCCGAGTATTGGAAGGAAACAAAGCAAGCAAGCCCATCACATGATGAGAAGCCCAACTTACCTTTTGTAATGTACAGGTAGAAGAAGTCGCAGTAGAGAATGGTCTGGACGACACCGGCCACCACAGCAATGAGATCAAAGAAACCCTCAAAATAGAAGCGCCAGATCCAGTTGACGAGGTACAAGGCGCGGTAGAGGCCCAGGAAGAACAGGTAGTGGGTGGTGATGGTCTCAGCCTCACCAGTCTTGCTGATCATAAAGAGCTGCGGGAGGATGGCCACAGACTCCAGATAGATGGAGAAGGTCCAGAGGATCTGAAAGGGAGGCGACCGGCTTTGATCAGGGCAGGGGTGGCTGGACACTGCACATGTCAGAGCAGTGAGCACTGTTTAAGAGGCAGGGTGTTGTCCAGGACCAGCTAGTACCTATGAGTTTTCACAGCTAATGTCTCTACTTATTCTAGTTCGGTCCTCTGTGAGTTCACAGAGAGGCTGTTGCTCTTGAGTAGGCTTGTCCCACTTGGAATCCAGAGTCAACGGTCCACCCTGCTTTCTGCCATGGTGGACAATGCTGACTCCCCACCAACTGATCTCCTTTCAGAGTACCAACATTTTCTTCTCCAAATGGGCTTTAAAATTTTTTTTTAATGTATATGAGTGTTATGCCTGCATGTATATAAGTACACCCGTCGTGCAATGCCCGAGAGGCCAGAAGAGGGTGATGGATCCCCTGGAACTGGAGTTATAGATGGTTGTCAGTTGCCATGTTGGGTGCTGCGAACTGAAACCAGGTCCTTTGCAAGAGTAGCTAATGCTCTGAGCTGTCTCTCCAGCCTTCCTCCAGATGGGCTTTGACTTAAAATTCCTTGACTTTCCAACAGGATGAAAGCAATATATACTCAGTAGAAACCATACTTCAAGCTTTCATCTTGTCCTGGGTAGTGAGATGCACTATGATACATTTATAATGCTGGGCAGTCAATCAGTATGCCAAGGGGAAACAAGAGTCCACAGTGTACTGGGTTGCTAAACTAGAGCTTGGTGAGCTAGGTATAGTAGCTGTTTTTTTCCAGTAACAATGGGTTTATCAAAAAACAGCTGTACCCCTGTCTTAAGTCAATGCATCTACATTTACTCATTTTATTTTGTTGGTGTATTGTACATGTTGAGTGTGGTATAGGTGCATGCATGTGCCTGTGCACAGACCAGAAGACATTAGGTACCTTGTTCTATCACTTTTACCTTATCCCCTTGAGACAGGTTCCCTCACTGACCCTGGAGCTACACTGGCATCTTGCAAGCCCCATCACTGCTTCTGTCTTCATGCCTCCCATTGCTGGGGTCACTGGTGCACATAGCCACATCTGGCTCTTTATGTGAGTTCTGGGATCTGTACTCAGGTCCGCATGCTTGTACAACAAGTGCACTTACCCATGAAGCCATCTCTCCATTCTTTAGGCTTTTTGGGTGGTTGAATCAAAGGGTCAGAAATCAGAGCTGCAATTATGCAAACTCTGCCCAACCTGGTACTTTATTGCTGACAAATCGTGCACCACTGCACCCAAGGTGGCGGGCAGCACTGTTGGGAGAGATGTAAAGACTAGTACCAATGCTGCGCACAGTGAAATGAGTGGGCCAGAAGCAGAAGACCAGGCTCTCCAAATCCTAGAGCAAGCAGGGCTCCCCTAGTTTCAATTGTGTATATATGTGTGTGTGTGTGCGTGCGTGCACACGCGTGCGCATGTGGAGGCTACATGACAACCTCAAATGTCATTCCTTAGGCATTATCCACCAGTTTTTCAAGACAGGGTCTTTCACTGGCCTGGAACCCACCAAGTAGACTAGGCTGGCCAGCCAGCAAGTCCCAGATACCTACCTATCTCTGTCTCCCTAATGCTAGGATTATGTGTACCACATCTGGCTTTTTTACATGGATTCTAGACATGGGCCTCAGGTCCCCCACCTTAATACTTTATTGATAGCTCTCCCCCACCCCCGTTTTTCATAGTTGAGACAAGGTCTCATGTAGCTCAGGCTGGCTACAAACTCACTATGTAGCTAAGGATGACCCTCAACTCCTGATCTTTTTACCTCTACCTCCCAAGTGGGATTTACAGGTATGTTGTAACCAGACCTGGTTTTGCTTAGAGGAGCATCCAGCAGTAAGCAGCCAGATACCCAAATACCTGGGTAGTTTAATTCTTGGCAATTTATTTACAACAAATAGTATAGATTGCACCAGAAGCCTGTCAAACTGCAAAAACAAAACGAACCCACAAAAGTTCATCATCTGTCAACAGACCTTTTTTACAGGGAACCAGCCATGACCACTAAATAGCCCCTTCACTAACCTCAAGGGGGGAGAAGTCATGATTGACCAGGAATGAGAGGCCTCCCACAGGGACCACCAGAAACTCCACTCGGAAGGTATCATGATTTCCATCATAGGTGGCCTTAAATTTCATGTAGATCAGGTAGACTGTAGCATAGGAGCAGGCAATGTAGATAAGCTGGAGACCAAAGGAGAAACATGGGTTAGCAGTGTGTGAGAGTTGTCTGTCCTGTCTATGTCACCCACATATTCAGCTTTAAAAATTTTTTTGTATATTAACATTTACACACAAGTGAAGTTTACTTTTGGCCGATGCATAGTTCTGAGTCACAAGCCACAATTAAACCACAGAGCAGGTCTATCCCTCCTAAATTCTAGACTGCTGCCTGTAGTCAAGCCCCTCCAGACTCCAACTCTGCCCTTCCTTGAAGTCTGCTCCCAACTGTACCTTTTCTAGAAAGCTACATGAATGAAGTCAAACAGCATATTGCTTTTTGCATCTGGATTCTTCAGTTGACAAAATTCATCTAACAGCCAGTCAAACTTGTACACATCCCATTTATAAGAGATTAAAAGACACATTTAAGTATGTAAGGGTACCCATGGAGGCCAGAAGAGGGCATAAGATCCCTTGGAGCTGGAGTTACAACCATTTGTGAGCTGATGGATGTGAGTGCTGGGATTTGAACCCTGGTCCTCATGATTGAGCAGCAAACACTCTTAACTGTTGAGCCATCTCTCTAGCCCCTCCCCCTTTTTACTGAGCAGAGAGGTCTACTGGATAGGTGCATCACAATCTGCTGACTCACCAATTAAAGGACAGGTACCCTATTTCCAGTTTGGGGGGCAGGATGGTGGATAGGGCTGCTATGAGCATGTGTATAGCCTTTTGCATGAAGGTAAGTTTTCATTTCTTTTGTATTTACACCCGAGAGTGGGTTGGCTGGATCATATGTTATGCATAAGTTTTAAAATTTTATAAGAAACTGTCAAAGTGACTTTTATGTCATCTTAAGCTATGACACAGCAGCTTTAGGGAGAAAAAAGAATGCAAAGTTCAGTGCAGTTCTAGACCTATGGACGTCCTTCCAGTGTGAGGTTGTTTCTTTGGACGGGTTTTTGTAAAGATAAGATAAGCTCTGTGATTCAGGTTAGACTTTGGCATGGTCTTAAACTGTATTCCGCTGGCCCAGAAAACTAGCTCAGTGGTTAAAGTGGCTTGCCACCAAGTCTAACTACCTGAGTTCAAACTCTGGGACAACATGATGAAAGGAGAGTACTGACTCCTGAAAACTATCTACTTACCACCACCACCACTACCAACAGAAACACACACACACACACACACACACACACAGGCTGTGTCATGCTTCATTTGTACCCATGCACTCACAGATAGACACAAAATAAATTAAATAAATGTAAAAAAAACCCTTTTTTACAAATTGTGTTACTTTAACCATGATAATATTTGGATTATTGCTATGAAATTCAGTCTGGTATCATAACAAAAGCAAAGCCAAAAGTAAGTTTTTAAAAAAAATATTTTATTATTATTTTTATTTTATGTGTATGAGTGTATTGCCTGTGTGTAGGTAAGTTCACTGTGTCGTGCAATGCCCATAGAGGACAGAAGAGGCTGTCAGATCCCCTGGAACTGGAGTCACAGACAGTTGTTAGCTGCCATGTGGGTGCTGGGATTCAAACTTGGGTGTTCTGCAAGAACAGCTAGTGTTCTTAACTGCTGAGCCATCTCTCCAGCTCCCAAGTTAGTTGTTTTTTAAAAAAAGATTTATTTTACTTTTTATGTGTACGTGTGTCTGGGTGTGCATGTGTGCATATGCCTGCAGAGGCTATAAGAGGGCATCAGATCCCCTGAAGAGAAGTTACAGGTGGCTGTCGGCTACCTGACATGGGTGTTAGGAATCAAACCCAGGTCCTCTGCAAGAGCACCAAATGCTCTTAACGGCTGAGCCATCTCTCTGGACCCTAATAATTATTTTGTAAAACACTGCTGCCTCCAAGAGAGGAAGTCTGTGTACAAAGCAGCAGAGTTGCTCAAGGGCTCACAATTGAGTCCTGTGTTCTTTCATCTTCAAAAGGTTATTCGACCTCAAGGAAAAGCCCAATATTCTGAAATTACATCAATTTGCAAATTGCAGAAAATCAGGCCTAAGAATCAAACAGGCTGGGAGGAGGACCACACTGCCTGGTACTCCTCCTCCTCAGGAAATATAACTTAAGAAACTTAATTAGGAAAATATTTGGGCAAATGACTTAATGGGAAAATGAGGGTAATCATCCAACCCTCACATGCTTTAAAAAGCCCCAAAAGACACAGAACAGTCCCAGCACCTCATTATACATTTACATTTGCAGACAGTCAACATGGTATTGAAACAGTGGGTCCTGATGCATGTATAAACAAAGTACATACCTAGCCCTGGCTCACCACAGCTGAGGACGCCCCAAGGCTCAAGCCTGTGCCCAACCAGGTTCATCCCATCAAGGCCTTAGCAGCTGCTGAGGAAAACCAGCTGTCTATCAGCAGCTTGGCAGTAAAGACAAGCACAAGACAGGCATGGTGGTACAGGTGAAATCCCAGTACTAGGAAGCTAAGGCAAGAGGATGACAAGCTTGAGTTCAGCCTCAGCTACACATTGAATTAAGGCCAACCTGAGCTACACTGTGAGATTGCTTCAAAACCAAAAATTAAAAAATAAAAAAAGGACAAGCATCTACAACTGGGCTCTGGTTCTATAGCCACACGAGCAGGATTCTGCTAAGACTCATGGGAGGAGAGGGTGAAGATTCCAACTCACACATCTCTAGTGCCTACAACTTTCAAATAAATGTATTTTATTTGCAGTTTATGTGTATGAGTGTTTTGCCTGCATCTGTGTCGTGTACTGCCCATGGAGTCCAGAGATGGTGAGTCCCATGGAACTGGAGTTATGGATGGTTGTTAGCCACCATAAGCGTGCTGGGAACCAAACCCAGGTCCTCTCCAAGAGCAGCCAGTGCTCTTAACCACTGAAACATCTCTCCAGTTCCAAATGCCTGTACTTGTATCTCACCTAAACAAACATAAAGCTAATCATTCTGTGTGTATGTGTGTGTCTATGTCTGTGTATCTTCCTCTGTGTGTGTAGAGGATAGAAATCAACCTCGGGTGTTGTTTTTTGAGATAGTTTTTCATTGAGGCCGGGGGCTCACCAATTAGGACAGGATGACTGTCCAATGAACCCTAGGGATCTTCCAGTCCTTACACAGTGCTGGGATTTCAGGTGGAAGCCACCTTGCCCAACTTTTTATATGGGTGCTGGGAACTGAACTCAGGTTCTTACATGAGAAGCATTTACAGACTGAGCCATCTCCCTAGCCCAATCTAGCCATTCTCAAGGCAGCTGATTATTTCCTGATTACTAGGCTCCTCCTGCTTAGTTAAGAATGGAGTGATTATAGGTGACTTGAATTTGCTTTCTTCATTTTTTAAACATTTATTTTCTGTGTTTGTATATGTACATGGGCACACACATGCCAGGTTGCATGTGCAAAGGTCAGAGGACAACTTGTAGGAAGTCAATTCTCTCCTTCTACCATGTGGGTTCCAGAGCTTGAATTCAGGTTGTATTATCAGGCTTGGCAGGAAATGCTAAGCCATCTGGTTGGCCCTCAAACTTACTTTTTTTTTTTGAGAGAGGGTCTCCCTGTAGCCCCAGCTGTCCTGGAACTCACTATGTAGACCAGGCCGGCCTTGAACTCACAGAGATCCGCCTGCCTCTGCCTCCCGAGTGCTGGGATTAAAGGCGTGCGCCACCACGCTAGGCTCAAACTTACTTTTTAATAAAGACCATAGACCCCAATACTGCTTTGCCTACTTTAACCTGTTTATAAAAATGCTTTTGAACACAAAGTGTTGGGGAAGGGGTGTTTAAATACTCACCAGTAGGCCTCAGCTTAAATATTACTTCCCTGGGTATGCCCCAAACTAAGTCCTTAGAACAGTGCCTGCCACCCAGGCACTCCAAACTTGTTCAAGGAATGAAAGAAGTCAGACTCCTCGAACACATTCTCAGAGTGTCTCCTTTCCTTCATCCCACCCATCACCAACTGCAGGCATTCATTTCACATATGATCTGTGTGCTAGGGCATCACAGCCAAAAAATTCCGCTGGCTCTGTCACAATTTAGTGCAGGGCTGCTGTAGTGTTCACAACACAGCTTCAGTGACTGGGAGAACCACAATTCACTTATCTAGTGCTTCCTAATGTGGGGTGCCTACCAACGGTGTTATACAAATGGGAGTACGAAAACATTTTATGTTTGCGTGTATGTATGTGTGCATGCATGTATGCTTGTGGGAACATTTTGAATTTGTATGTGTGTACGTGCATGTGCCTATCTGTGGAAACATTTTCTACTTTAATAGTTACATGCTTGCTTTAATGTGAATTAGAAGAAATTTGAAGTCACCAAAGGTACCAATGATGTCAATGCTTAGCACAAATTAAAAGGTTTAAGATCATAATTATAATACCATTATTAAGTAAATGATGGTATGGGTGGTTAGCATGACATAAGTAAAGATAGCACGCACACAGCAGAGTCAGCTTAATACAAAGTGACTAAGTAGAAAAAGAAAACAAGGAGCAAGGGTAACAGGGCCTCACAGGGGTGGAAAGGAGACCAACCAGGAGCCCAGGCTTTCCTCCTATGTAGTGACCTGCTGGACTTCTTTGGGAAGTCTGCAATTTCCCACTGCTTAAAAATGTAACAGACACCCTTGTTCTTAGAGTGCTAGCAAGAGGTTCAGAAGACTTACCATCCTAAGGAAACTAACTTTGAAAATCTCTAAGTTCAAAGCACCTTAATTAAAGGGATACTGTTTTGAGATAGAAAAAGTACACTTAATGATAACTATTCCCAGTCATAGATATATGATGGTCTAAAAGTTTAAGTCAAGAGCAGTCTATTGGAGGCTGGAGAAATGGCTCAGTGGTTAAGAGTACTGGCTGCTCTTGAAGAGGATCTGGGTTCAGTTCCCAGCACCGGGTGGCTAACAACCACCTGTAACTCCAGTTCCAGGGGATCTGATGTCCTCTTCTGGCCTCCATAGGCACTGCATGTATGGGTGCACTTACATACTTGTAGGCACATTGGAGCTAGAAAGATGGCTCAGCTGCTCTTGCAGAGGACCTGGGTTTGATTCCCAGCACCCACCTAGAGGCTAATAACTATCTATAACTCCAGTTCTAGGGGATTTGATGCCCTCTTCTGGCCTCCATAAGCACTGCATGCATATGGTGCACTTACCTATGTGCAGGAAAAACACACATAAAATACAAATAAATAGCTGGGCTTGGTGGCACATGCCTTTAATCCCAGCACTCAGGAGGCAGAGGCAGGTGGATCTCTATGAGTTCAAGGCCAGCCTGGTCTACATAGTGAGTTCCAGGACAGCTGGGGCTACAGGGAGACCCTGTCTCAAAAAAGACCAAACAAACAAACAAACAAACAAACAAACAAAAACCCCACAAATAATTAATTTTGTTTTTGTTTTTTGAAATAGGACCTCCCTGTAGCCCCAGCTGGCCTGGAACTCACTATGTAGACTAGGCTGGCCCTGATCTCACAGAGATCTGCCTGCTGCTGCCTCCTGAGTGCTGGGATCAAAGCTTTGCACCACCAGCAAATAAATTTTTTAAAAATTTAAATGAGGGGCTGGAAAGATGGCTCAGCAGTTAAGAACACTGGTTGTTCTTGCACAAGATCCAGGTTTGAACCCCAGGACCCACATGGCAGTAACAGCTGTCCATAATTCCAGTCCCAGGGGATCTGGCAGCCTCTTCTGACCTCCAAGGGCATTGTACGACACAGGTGCACTTACCTATGTGCAGGCAATACACGCATACACATAAAATACAAATAATAAAATTAAAAAAAAATTTTAATGATATAAGAAAATTAAACAAAGTTTAAAAGTTTAGCTGGGAGCGGTGGTGCATGTCTTTAATCCTAGCACTCGGGAGGCAGAGGCAGGAGGATCTCTATGAGTTCAAGGCCAGCCTGGTCTACATAGTGAGTTCCAGGCCAGCTGGGGCTATGGGGCGACCCTGTCTCAAAAAGACCAAAAAAACCCCTCATAAATTTTAAAAAAAATGGAGCAGGGCACTGGAGAGATGGCCCAGTGGTGAAGAGCACTAGCTGCACTTGCAGTGGACCAAGATTCAGTTCCCAGCACCCACATAGTAGCTCACAACTGTAACTCTAGTTCCAGAGGATCCAATGCTCTCTCTGGACTCTGTAGGCATCAGGCACGCACATGGTACACAAATATACATGCAAGCAAAACTCATACACATAAAAAAATAAAAGAATCATAAAAAAAAGGCAATATATCTTAAAAAAAAAGACAGACTGGGAATGTAGCTCAGCTGTAGATGTGTAGCATGTGAGGCCCTAATTTAAACTCCTAGCACACCAAAATAAACAGACAAACAACAAAAAGATTAGAGAGCAGAAGAGGAGCTGGTTGGAGAGAGGAAGGGGATTAGTGAGAGTGGCAGGGAGACAGAGAGGAAAATGGGGGTAACTATAACCAAAATATATTATGTACAATTTTGAAAATGTCATCATGAAACCCACTATTATAACTGATATATGCTACTAAAAAACATTTTAAAAAACCAACCAACCAGATGAACACACAAAAATGAAGTGCATCCAGTAATTTCAAGGCAGGAAACCACACATACTGTTCATGCAGTCATCTGAGAACATGTAGTAATATGCGCAAAAGTAGCTCATGTTTCTACTGAGAAACAAAGATACACATGCCAGTGAGATGGCTCAGCAGGTAAAAGTGCTTGTCATGCAAGTCTGATGACCTGAGTTCAGTGGAAGGAGAGAATGGACTCCTAAAAGTTGTCCTCTGATCTCCACAAATGCACTGTGCCATGCACATATCCACAATTTGTCTCACTCTCATACACAATAAATAAAATGAAAATTTTTTTACAAGAGCAGCATATCTAGCTATTCTTGGAGATTTTAAATCACACACATCTAACAGTCTCCTAGGTCTGAATATTCTGTATGAAATGCAGTGGATCGGATGCCATACCTTCATAGATGTATTATACAATGAAATAAATGAAGTGAAAAGGTCCAGGTAACGAGTTGTGAAGACCAGTGCAAACAGAAGCTGGCTTTTCCCAGAAATGCCTAAGGGAACAAAAGGAAAGAGTTAGAGCCCTGCAAAACTTTCAACTCCCAAGAGCTCCCTGGGCAGCAAGCACGGACCATGACAGTGGATACCTGGGGTCACAGGTCCAGGTCTGGGATCAAGCAAATAAACCAGAGCAGTTCCAGTTTCCCTTTCCTGTAACATTCCTGAATACGCTCCCTTGGGAGGCTCTGCCAACTTTTGTCCTGCTCTGATGGTGACTCTAGTACACTGGAGTCCTCAGATGGCTCACCTTAGACACAGATAAATCTCTTTCCATAACTGTGCTGCTACTTAGCATCAAAACTTTATCTTCAGGGCCTTCTGTTTTGTAACAGTACCCTGTGGGCCAAAGCACATAGCATGTGTGAGGTTCTGAGCTCAAACCCCAGACCCACAAGAACAAAACAACCCAGTATCTACACACTGACTAATCTTTTTTTTGAGTAGGTGGGTTAGTTTTTTGAGTCAGAGTCTCCTTGTAGCCCCAGCTGGCCTGGAACTTGCTATGTAGACCAGGCTGGCCCCGATCTCATAGAGACCCTCCTGCTTCTGCCGAGTGCTGGGATACACGGTGTATACTACCACACCACATCTGGCTTGACTAATCAAAACATTTTTTCGATTGATTGATTTATGTGTTTTGCCTGCATACATGTAAGCGTACTCATCAATGCCAGAGGTCAAAAGGCAGCCAGGAGGGGTGTCTCAGTGGTTAAGAGTACTGGCTGTTATTGCAGAGGACCCAGGTTCAGTTCCCAGCTAACAACTGTCCATTACTCCAGTTCCAGGGGATCAAATGCCCTCTTTTATTTCCGAGGGCACTATATGCATGTGATATACTTACCCACATGCAGGCAAAACATTTATACACTAAAATAAAAATAAATTAAACTGCCTGTGGTGGCACACACTTTTAATCCCAGCACTCGGGAGGCAGAGGCAGGTGGCTTTCCCTGAGATTGAGGCCAGCCTGGTCTGCACAGCAAGTTCCAGTCCAGCTGGGGCTATAGGGAGACCCTGTCTCAAAAAACAAAAACAGTCAAAATAAAGCAAAAAATTTTAGAACCTCAATTTTTTGATTCAGGACATAACATATTTGCATAAAAATGTTCCTGGGCAGAGCCTGGAGCTCAGGGGTAGACACTTCTGTAGCACGTTCAAAGCCCTGGGTCCCATCTGCAGTAGCATTAAAAAAAAGTTCCTGGATGTTATGTCAACAGAACAGTAAATAACAATGGGCCAGTGAGATGGCTCAGCAGGTGAAGGTGTTTGCTGCCAAGCTTGATGACCTGGGACCCACATGATGGAAGGAGAGAACTGGCTCCCCGAGGTTGCCCTGACCTCCACACTTATGCAGTGGCACATACACGGCGTGTAGCCCAGATACATGTGCATACCCCCTGCCAAAGTAAATAATGTTAAAAAAAAAAAATCAAAAGAAGAGACAACAACTACAGCTAATTTTCAGAAGCAGCTGTCTGGCTAGGTGTGCTGACCCACACCTGTCATCCCAGGACTTGGGAGGCTGAAGCAGGAAGATGAAGACTGTGAGTTCAAGCCTGCACGTATCAGGGAGACACCATCTCAAAACAACACAAAATAAAAATAAAACAGGGTGCTGTCCAATCCTCATATACCATGAAACTGAGTTTCTGCTTCCACTCACCAACTGAGCAGGACAACCATAACTCAACTGGGGTGGACTAGAAATTCACAGTAACATGGCTTTTCAGACACCTGTATCTGGCCACACAGCTATGTGATAAAAGTTATGACCTGTGAGCTTCAAGATGTTGCAGACTGAGCAATTTAAGGGAACTGAAAGGTGACTAGATAGCAGAACCTACCCACCTCACTGTGGTGCAAACTTCACCCTGTGTACATCAGTCAGCGTGCGCTGGCAGAAACGTCACTGCACCCAAGTGGTTCCTATCACTCCTCTGGAAAATGATAATCAAGTTGCTCTTCTGTGACATTTTGCAGTTTCTGAAACTGAGACCTGGGTGCAAGAATGCTACTTTCTTATTATGAGTGATTGCAGCTCCAGCTCATTCACAAAAACACCAAGTAAAAAGACCCTGCTTCCAAACCCATCAACAGAACCAATTTTCAGGGCCAAGGGAAATCGGGAAGTAAATCTGCAGCTCACTCTTTTCCTTGGCAACAGAGACCTTTACTCTATCAGAGGTTAATGCTCCAAAGGAGAAACGCTGAAGCTGATGCTAAAACCTGAAACAAGACCATGATGTGGAAAGATAGATGCAACAGATGTGGATTTGTGTTGAAGCCTGGAAAAATTTCCAATTCATCTGTTACATGGCTCTCTCCAATGTTTGGAGACAGGGTCTCACCATGTAGTCCTGGCTGTCCTGGAACTCACTATGTAAACCATGCTGGCCTTAAACTCAAAGAGATCTACCTGCTTCTGCCTCCCAAGTGCTTGAATTACAGGCATGAACCACCACATCCAGCCTCTTTCAGTATTTTAAATAAAGACTTAATAGTATACAGATGGGCAAAGTTTGCCACACAGGGTTTATTCCACCGGGGCTTTGGAGTCAGGTAGATGCATTCCTACATTAAGACACGAAGGACAGCAGCTCACTGCTCTCCTCTGAGACACAACCCAACAACTATCACCTCCTCTGGGAGGTGGAGATTCCTTCCCTCCCTTGGTGCTGTTGACTCCTTCAACAGGCACTTCATGCCAGCTGCTGCCCTAGCTTCTCATACAGACTTACAAAGATAAACCATGGGGCTGGGGAGATGGCTCAGTGGGTAAGGCACTTGCCAAGCAAACAAGAGGGCATGACTTTGGATCTCTAGAAGCCATGTAAAAGTGGGTGCAGTGGCAGGTATCTGTGATCCCAGCAATCCTATGTGAGACAGGAGAATCTTTACTTTAGATGCTCACAGACCAGCTAGCCTGGCATAAGCAGAGGCAAACAACAGAGACACGGTCTCGAAGTAAGTGAAGAGCAACACCTGAGATTGTCCTCTGGCCTCTACACGCACACTCACATGCATACACACATGCATAACTGTGATAGCCTGGTTCTTGTTCTCCCAGCCCCAACCTCCACCAGATATAGAAATCTCTAAAGGCAGAGGTTGCGCCTCATTCCATTTTATATTCCCTATGCTGGACACTGGACCCTGACACAGACACGCAGCAGTGTCCAGAAAATCCTTGCCAGTGGGTGAACACATGGACAAAAGAAGGAATTCATCTCATCTTCTTGTCATGAGGCAAATCTTCACTGTATTGCATTTTAGGTAAAGCTGAGTCCAATTGTGTCTCCAGGACTGTAAATAGACAACATGTTCTGGGCTCTACCTTGATTTATTACTAGCTGGAGGGGGAGAGAGTCCCTCTGAGTGAGCTCGGGGCAAAGGAGAAGACAGGTACCCATGCAGACACTGGCATGCCAGGTATCCAGGGATGCCTACAGGATGTGGGCACTGTTCTCCCTGGCCTGGATCTTGATTAACATGCAGCAGTTTTTCTCTTTACCACTGAAAAGCTGTCTTGTCTTCATAGAAGGAAGTGATCCCAAGCTAAAGACAGGAGGGGTGCCAAGGAATCAGCTGGGAGTGACAGGAGTGTGGAAGAGCCACTAAGGCAGAATACCTACCTTATCTCTGTCTATCTACCTATCCATCCATCCATTAATCTACAGTGCTGGGGATAAACCCAGGGCCACATACAGGCTAGGCAAGCACTCTACCACTGAGCTACAATCCCAGTCAATACCAATCTGCTTTTAGACCAAAATGGTCCAAGGATCAGATAACAAGCACAAAAGAACACTCATTTTTATTTTTACTTTTTGGTCTTTTTGATACAGGATCTCCCTATAGCCCCAGCTGTCCTGGAACTCACTATGTAGACCAGGCTGGCCTTGAATGCACAGAGATCAGCCTGCCTCTGCCTCCTGAGTGCTGGGATTAAAGGCGTGTACCACCACGCCTGGCCTAGAACACTAATTTTTAAGCACTAGGACATTCCAGTAACAAATGCATCCAGTGTCCACACTATTGCTTCATAGAACAGATCGCTCACCCAAACAGATTCCAAGACTTTTTTTTAATATTTTACTTATTACTTTATGTGTATACTTTATGTATTGCCTGCATGCGTGTAAGTGCACTCATGTTGTACAATGCCCAAGGTGGTCAGAAGAGGGTGTCAGATTCCCCTGGAGCTGTAGTTATGGATGGTTGTCAGCTGCCATGTGATGAGAATCAAACCCGGGTCTTCTGCAAGAGCAGTCAGTGCTCTTAAACCACTGAACCAACTCTCCAGCCCCCTCCAAGACTTCTAAGTAACAGCAGGGAGGCCACTAAGCACCACGGGCCAGGCCACCAGGAAAGACTGCCTGGCATCATTTAATAGCAGCACTCAAACCACTGTCTCAAAGGATTTGGAAATCCTACTCTTTTCTTTTTGGGGAGGGATGGGGAATACAAGAGTCTCAAATAGCCCATACTAGCCTTGAACCCAAGATCCTCCTGCCTCCACCTCTCCAAGTGCTGGGAATACAGGAGTGCACCACCACACCTGGCTTGGACATTCTTTGAAAGCCCATGACTCTTCTCTGGAATGCACAGCTCAGTGCTTAAGAACCACCTCATAGCCAGGCATGACAGCAAAGGCCCATAATCCCTGCCTGTCTGTAATCAGGAGGCTGAGGCAGGAAAATCTGAATTCAAAGCCAGCCTGGGCCACATGGTGACAATCTTCTGTCTTAAAGAAACCAAGGCCTGGGAATGCAGCTCCCCGATAAAGTGTTTGCTTAGCATGTCCAAGGCTTAGAGTTTGACCCTAATGGCAAGGGGTAGGTAGGCTTTGGAGCTGAAGGGTCATGGTTCAAGTTCATCACTTGAGGCACAGGGTAAAGCTAGACCATTCTATCTCACCCTAATTCCATTTTCTGTATCTGTCAAATAGAGACAGATTATACTAACTTGTTGGGACTTTGAAAAGAGGAAATCA